TTTGGTTGAGTTTTGGAGATTTTACAAGTTGAAGACGGAAGACCAAACTGTGCATTTTTGCCATATTTTACTGTTTTACTTCCATAAAGGGAAGAACGCGAGTCAAGCTTGTGAAAAGTTGCATAAAGTTTATGGTGACAATGCTCTACTAGAACGTCAGTGCCAACAATGGTTCACGAAATTCCATGCTGGTGATTTTGATCTCAATGATGCTCCTCGGTCAGGGAGGCCCACCCAGGTTGATGATGACAAAATAAAGGCATTGATGGAGTCAAACCCATGTTACACGACATGAGAGATTGCAGAAACATTGAACATCCATCATTCAAGCGTTCATGACCACCCGAAGAAGCTGGGATATGTAAGCAAACTTGATATTTGGATTCCACATGAACTCAAAGAAGTTCATTTGACGGCACGTATAAATATCTTCAATATGCTCATTAAACGTTGAGGAAAACGATCCTTTTTTGAAGCGAATGATAACTGGTAATGAGAAGTGGATTGTTTACAACAATGTGGTGCGCAAGCGGTCTTGGTCCCGACGTGATGATTCGCCTCAAACATCGAAAGCAGACATTCATCAGAGGAAGGTTATGCTCTCAGTGTGGTGGGATTTTAAAGGTGTCGTATTTTTCGAGCTCCTACCAAGGAACCAAACAATCAATTCGAATGTGTACTGTCGGCAATTGGACAGTTCAAATGAATCCATCATCCAGAAACATCCAGAGCTTAATTGTAAAGGAGTTGTGTTCCATCGTGACAACACGAGACCACACACGTTTGATCTCCCATCAAAAATGATTGGAGCTTGGATGGGATGTGTTGCCACACCCACTATACTCACCTGACCTTGCATCATCAGACTTCCACTTGTTTTGCCCTCTTCAAAACTCCTTGCATGCAACTAAATGAAACAGAGGGTGTCAGGTGGTCACATGTCTTGCATCATGGATGGGGAAGAGGCTTGATCACTGCACTGTACACCTGAAGCTGATGTTGTATAATATTGTATGTTAACTATAAGTGAATATA